TGCTACAGTGTGATCACCACCAAAGTCTCAGCTTTGAGATTCTTTTCTCCAAGTAGTGTCATTACATTCTTTTCAAGTTAGGTAAAGACATTTTTTCTCAGTCCTTTTAAAATATCATCTGAATCTGATTTTATTCCACTGCTGTGATGTTTTCATGTTCTCATTTCCTCTGTGGTTTGCTTTATTATTTTGAAATGTTATTTCATAGAATTGGATGGGACTGCGGAGATAAGCTACTCCAGCCTCTTGCTAAATGCTATACACCTGCCATGGCAAATGACCCTCCAGCCTCTACATAAATACCTTTAGAAAAGAAGAGCACCATCACCTCCTGAGGCAAGAGATTCCACTATTGAACAACTCTTCTTGTTAAGATTTTCTCTTAATTTTTGCCCAAATCTACTTCCCTTCTATTTCCATTCACTGGGTGCTAGTACTGCCTTCTGGGACAAAACAGAATAAAAATTTCCCATCTTCACATGCTAGTCCTTCAGCTATTTTAAAGTGAAAGGGGGGAAAAAACACTATTGTGTCCTCTCTTAGGGTGCATCTAGACTGTAGAAATAACACTGTTTGACACCACTTTAACTGCCATGGCTCCAGCCCACAGAATCCTGGGATTTGTAGTTTTATGAGGTACAGCAGTCTTTGGCAGACAAGACTAAAGACCTTGTAAAAGTACAAATCCCAGGATTCCTTAGGATGGCACTAAAGCACTTAGAGTGGAGTCAAACTGCATTATTTCTACAGTCTAGATGCACCCTTAATACAAGCTAAACATACCCCATTACTTCAAACATCCTTCATAGATCTTGATTTGCAGAACTGAATAGATGGGGCCTGACCAGTTATTTTTTTTACTTGGGGCTACAGACCAACCAAAAAAGCCAGCCTGGGGGTGGAGTCGGGGCATAGTGACTGCATGCCAGCTGCCCCAATGCTGCTGTCACACCACCCACCCAACCAGGCAACGGCCAGCATCAGGGCACTCTTTTGGCACAGCGTTCACACACACTAAGCCAAAGGAATGCCAAAAGCTGCCACTACAGCAGCAAGGGTGGCTTTTTACCACTCTAAAAAGGAGTGGCATTTGCCAGCTCTTCTTAGAGCATTAAAGTGCCAGATTAGGGCTGCGGTGTGCAGTTGCCATGACCCTGATCCAGCACTTCCGGGGTGGCACAGAGCTTCCCCTTTTGGGCAGTCTATAGTGGCCCTTGATTACCAGCAACCTTGACAATGTAATGTGAATGTAATGTAATGTCATCTGGTATGTTCCTAGGACTATAAGGTAGGATATGCATCCCAAAAAGGAATGAAATTCATAAAGATTAAATATTCAAGGGATCACTTCAAAGTGTGTATGTGTGTGTGTGTGTGTGTGTGTTTATTTGTGTGTATATAGTTACATCCAAAATTAGTCTTTAGCATGTCTCATTCAGTAGCTATATTAATCGAAAAACTGAAGATAGCTCTGAGCACATGAATGCATTATTCCAGGCTGTCCTAGGATATTCACTTAAATGACCTACATTTTATATAATTTAACACTATAACTGCTTCAGGGAAAACCTGTCAGACATTTTAAAAGTATGTAGTGCCAAGCAGCTTGAATCCACCTATTCAAAAACCATAAAATGAGAAGTCATCCAACGGACAGCAAGTTCACTGGAGAAGCAAGTTTCAGTTTCAGGCATTGAGGGATTGTTTAAAAAAAGCTTTTCATGTTGTAAAAACTATTCCAAGTATCCACTTTAAGTAAATCTTAATTCTGCATCTGTGTGAATATAAAGAGTGGTTTCTCACTGGGATTACTCACCATTGTTTTAACAATGAAGTTATGCACACCCAAATACTGTGGTAAATACTTATCATTCCTTTTCATGCTTGGTAGGAAGAGGTCAAAGTGTTATGATCAAAGTCACAGCAATGTATGTAGGACCTCTATGCTGACCTCACTCACTCCCACCATGTAATTTCTCTGTCTCTGATCATCCCAAATTGAGTTGAAAGGTCTGAAAAGGGCTTCCATATGCATTCTCATAAAATGGAATGGCCCCTATGAGAAGTCAAGAACCCTTATAGAGGAAGATTTCCAACTGTGCAAAGAGTTCTATTCACTGTTCACTAGGGTTGTGCAACAGCTGAATCCCAAATAACAAAATACATTGGGCCTATTCAGACCAGTTTGCATGAGTGCTGGATTGGAACAGAATGGCCCAGTTTGGTTCCAGAGTGAAATATTTATCCAATGTGATTTGGGTTGATCCAGAGAATGAAACATTAAAACTTAGGAGGAAAGAACCAGATGAAGGCCAAGGTACACTGAGGTTGAGTAGAATAAATCTCCACATGTGAAGTTATGCATTGATAGTGCTATGCAACTCCTGCGTTGAATGAACAACTGAATATGCACTGAAATATATGCACCGAAGCCACATAAATAACTGAATGTGCATGTCTATGCATATCTGAATGCACAATGGTATTACAGACATAACTCTGCTTCCATATCCTTGAATTCAATATGGACATT